GGCGGAGGTTGCGGTGAGCCGAGATCGCGCCATTGCACTCCAGCCTGGGTAACATGAGTGAAACTCCGTCTCAAAAAAAAAAAAAAAAAAAAAGACTATGATGATGATTTAGTATCCCAATTCAGACCTTTTCCTGCTGCTGTTTTCTCTCCATCTCCTCCCCAGGCTCAGACGTGCAGCTTCTGGAATACGAGGCCTCAGCTGCTGGCCTCATCCGATCCTTCTCTGAGCGTTTCCCAGAGGATGGGCCTGAGCTGGAGGATATCCTCACACAGCTGGCCACAGCCGATGCCCGATTTTGGAAGGGCCCCAGTGAGGCCCCATCTGGCCAGGCTTGAGGAAGATGTGTGTGGCCTCTCCCCCAACTCCATCAAACCAAGGCTGCAAATGGCCCTCCATTCATGTGTGTATTTAGGGGCTAGGGGAGGGGAAGGGGCAGGAGCATGGACCTTGGTACTACCTCAGCTGAGGGTGGTGACACTAACCGCTTCCATTTGTCAGCACTTTCCAGCTTGCCAAATGCTTCCCCTCTGATCTCATTTCATCTGCACTGCCATGTGTGGGGTGAGCAAGACAGGGCTCACCATCCCGTCTACCAGATGAGGAAATGGCAGTTCTGAGAAGTCACTGGTCTAGATCCCGCAGGAGGCACGTGACAGCTAGGGTTCAAAACCTTCTCACCAAATCCAATGCTCCTCACGTATTAATTTTATAACCAGACAAATAAATATCAGAGACAACCACCATCTTTGCGGCGTGTGTGGCTCCTCCTTGCCTTTGTCTGACTTCTCATTTGCTCCCAGCAGGAGGGTGATGGGCTCAAGGCCTGGGGAAGGGGAAAGCCTCCCTTCCACAAGACGTTGACATTATCTCTAGATGATATACAGTCACAGAGCTGAACACAGCATGATTTTTGCAGCCCTCCTTTGTGGCATTTCTTGCTTTTTTTTTTGAGACGGAGTTTCACCCTTGTTGCCCAGGCTGGAGTGCAATGGTGCGATCTTGGCTCACTGCAACCTCCTCTTCCCGGGTTCAAGCAATTCTCCTGCCTCAGCCTCCTGAGTAGCTGGGATTACAGGCCCAGCTAATTTTTTGTATTTTTAGTAGAGACGGAGTTTCACTATGTTGGCCAGACTGGTCTCGAACTCCTGACCTCGTGATCCACCCGCCTCAGCCTCCCAAAGTGCTGGGATTACAGGCGTGAGCCACCGCGCCCAGCATTCTTGCATTTTTAAATGTTCTGGTAACCTACAAACTCAACTTCAGTCAGAATCCTCTGCATTTGCCCCTTAACCCTCGTGTTTTGTTTCTCTGTGCCTGGACCTCTAGAATAAGGCAGTAAGACAGGACATGGCTCCTCACCGAGTAGCCATGAAGATGGAGACAGGAGTTCGTTTTGCTGCTCATAAATGCTAGAAGGGGCTTCTTTCCAGCTCTGGAAGCCAGAGGGCCCTGTGGCTGACCCAGAGATTGAAGGACCCAGACACCTGGAAAGGTGGCTCTCATTGGAAAGGAACAATGATAAATGAGCTGGGAAGAGAGAGTCCTCAACCCAGGAAGGTGGCCAGCGCGTCCTCCCCAGGGACTCCTAAGCCTGGCTGGGAAAGCTTGACGCCCGGAACCTTTGTACTCGCGCTTCCCAGCGCTCGGGCACTATTGGGCGTTACGCAGCAGCAGGGGCGGGGCTGGTTGCCAGGACGACGCCTGCCAACATGGCCGCTGTGTCCTCATCGGATTCCGACGGCTGCGGAGCTGAGAGGTGAAGGCGGGGCTTCTCAAAGCCTCCTTTTCTACCTGTGTAAAGAGGGTCCCTTGGTCCCTGGGCTCTGGGCTTCTGTTCTCGGGCAGTCTGGAAGGACTCTTAGACGTCAGATAGGAAAACCGAGGCCCAAGATGTGCATATATGTGTCTGGAGGTCGCTCGGTGAGCCATTGGCGGAGCCCCGGACTTGTACCCAGACGTTCTAATCTTATGTTCATGAGTGACCTGTACCAGCTCGCTCGAAGTTTTCTTCCCCTCCTGTGGGACTCACTCCCCAACTCTCTTTCCCCCACTCCCAGCAATGAGGCCAATTCGAAATGGTTGGATGCGCATTACGACCCAATGGCCAACATCCACACCTTTTCTGCCTGCCTAGGTGAGTCTCTGGAACCAGGAACCCTGGCTTCTAGGGAGATGGGGAGTTAGACGATGGTCCTGTAGTGAAGCCTCTGGGATTCTGAGACCCTGGTTTTGGCCCTTTTGTTTTACAGCGCTGGCAGATTTGCATGGGGATGGGGAATACAAGGTAAGCATATCACCCTAGCAGAAGAGTTGGGGGCAGGGGGGCGTACCCAGAAATGAGATTTTCCGACGGCTGAAAAGAGGCCCAGCATACTCTAGAATTCACATACACTGTGAAAAAGCACATTTCGCGTTAAATTTTGCTTTTATGTGGAAAGTGAAGAGAACTTATTGATTTCATAATGCAGACTGCAGAAATTAAAGCAGATCAAATATTTCTGGGGATTCTGCTAAGACAATGCCTCTTAATTTAGTTAACATGATTTTCTTGTTGGAAAGGCAAATTCCTTGGTTGGGGGCGGGCATTAGAATCTGGAGGGAAAGTAAAAGGGAGGGAAGTGAGAGTTTTGTATTTATCAAAAGATTTTAAGATTGGCCATAAGCTGTCAATTGTTGAAGCTGGATAATGGGGTATATGGGGGTTCATTATATGAGTCTCTCCACTTTTGTATATGAATGAAAATTTTCCATAGGAAAAGATTAAATTTTAAATTTAATTTTAAGGCTGGGCATGGTGGTTCAGGCCTGTAATCCCAGCACTTTGGGAGGCTGAGGTGGGTGGAGCACTTGAGCTCAGGAATTTGAGACCAGCCTGTCCAACATGTGTGAAAAATTGTCTCTACTAAAAATACAAAAATTTCCCTGGCATGGTGGTAGGCACCTGTAACCCCAGCTACTTGGGAGGCTGAGGCAGGAGAATCACTTGTGAGCTGAAATTGTGCCACCACACTCCAGCCTGGATGACAGAGTGAGACT